CATACATACATACATACATACATACATACATACATACATACATACATGCTGGAATGCTTGTAACTCCACCATATCAACAGCTATATAACAGGCTTTATAAGGAATTCCAACCAAAGACTAGGAGAATACAACTGAATGACTTTAAAGGACCGGTTATTATTGAAGCGGCTAAACTCAAATACTGGAGCTGATGCTCAGGACAGTGACAAACTTTTCTGGGATCCCACAGGTAAGTGGCAGTCATGAGTGGGGTGCAAAGATATTTGCCACAACCGAGTCTCAACAAAGGGTGCTAAGGCAGATCCTGAGTCAGCCCAAAAGGAAGAACAACTCCCAGGCATCAACACATGCCTGGCCATCCATCTCCCACCTCACAGGTGTGATAACCTGGCCAAAGGAGACAGTCGGAGCCTCTGTTGTCACCACGCACGGCGGGTGTTAGCCTGTACCCAGCAACCTGTGATGCTACTGTCAGTGTGGTGAGGGAGGCAGGGGCCTGGTGAGCAAATCTAACAACTGAATATCAGGGAACACTCAGAAAGATGGCCCCAAGCAATGGACCGATAAGAGAATGTCTCAGGGATCGGACACATGGGGGAGCAGACTGAGGACACTAAAACAGAACATACTGGTCTAAAAACAGCCCAGAGGTGCTGATCAGGGCAGCTCCAGAACAGGTTCTGAGCACAGGAGCTGTAAAGGCTGAGAGCACCACAGGTCCAGGCTGTGTAAATGCATATCCTCCTGAGACCCAAAGAAAAAAAGTGTCATCAAATTTGTTTTTTGTTGTGATTTTCCATGTATTTCGACCTAAAAAAGAACATTACAATTGACATTTTTTTAAAAATATTTTTAATTTCAATTTCATAGCATGTCCACTGTGGAGGACAACAGGACGGTTTGCATGGGAAAATAGAACAGGCTTTAGATAATTAAATAACAAAAAAGAAGATGTCTTGAAAGGGATATTTACCTAAGAACTCTTAGGAAAAAAGTAAAGTTCCCAGCATGCAAAGCTATCACATGGCACATCACTGGAAAGCCCAGGATGTGCTCTACAGAACACTATAGGGCTGATAGGGTAACTCCAGATACTTAGGGGGGTACAGGTGGACAAAATGTCCACTATAATGGACATAAATGAATGGGCCGGGTCTCAGGAGGATATGAGGGAGTCCAGAGCATTGAGGCACAGGTATGTATGGCCTACAGGCAAAGGCATCCTGATCCCATTCTAGAGGACCTCCTATCACCTGTCCCATCTTTTAAAGTTCATAAAGTTAATTATCTGCAACCAAAACACACATTTATCTAAAAAGAACTGAAATATCAATTGATGGGAAGTGGTAATCAGTAGAACCAGAAAACCAAATAAAAATAAGAATACTAATGATAATAATAAGTAAATATAGGTCTAAATTAAATGAAAACGCCTTTTAGGTATGGCTACATCCACAGTGCGCGTTCTGGCTCAGGGCGTGCGTGAGTCCGGCTCTTACCGGAGCTGCTCCGCAGGCGGGGCCTCCCCCCCGCGGCCCGGGGCTGCTGGCCCTCCCCGGGGGTCCCCCTCCGGGCCCTGGGGCACCCGGAGTCCCGGTGGGACCTGCGGGACATTCCAGACTGAGCGGCCC